ATTATGCCTCTCAAAACACCCGTTCACGGTTTAATAATAAATGGTCATGAATGAATGCCATTTTAAGTTTTTGAAGCTTCCACATAAACTTTTGCAACTGCCTCCTCGTATGTGGTATTGAAAACTCAATGAAAAATGCTGTCAAATTCCCTACAAACTAATTCTCTCTTTTCCATTTTGCTTGTCGCTTCGAAAGTTTTGCATCATAATGATGCCTCGTCTGATAGAATTTGTGACTCCACAATTTAGTTTTCATGAATTAGAGGTGACACTTCATTGTTGGCAGATGTTCAACTCAAGGATTGATTAACTGATTGGCGAATGAAAGCAAGAAACTTGCTTTGGATTTTTAATAAATATTTGATTCAGTAATGTCCGCTTCAAGTATTTAAACAATAGAATTTTGCTGACGCGAGCCGTTATTTAGTCTCCTTTCAAAAAAATGCTAATATTACCCAAAAATTGTAACCCGCTTACAGCTGTGGTTTTAGAATCGTAAATTATGTTCGTCAATTAAATTATTTTAGATATCATAATAGAATTTATAAATTTTGATATCAATGCAAGTAACCCAATGAATATTGGCTTAAAAAATAAGCAGCAAACCAAACTGCTGAAAGTAGGAMCATCTTTACCTCAGCACAACCTCAAGTGAATTTTTTGTAACATATTCGGTTTATACGCATATATAGGATGATCCACGGTCTGGGTGGCCAATTGACCGGCCCAAAGCATGAAATTATTTGTCCGCAGAAGTGTTCTCTCAATAAAAATCCATTGATTGATGCGATTTTCGGGAAGKGGAAGTGGTCACCGAAATCACGAGCTAAATTATTAGCATCACAAAGTCGGTTAAAATGGCGCGATAATAGTCGCAACTGGCGTTTACGTTATCACCGGTATTTTTTTAATATTTTCTTTGCTGCGTGCTGGATGTGAGTAATGAATACTGGGTCTCAAGAATTGTGATGGTGTTGCGAATAGTACACTCAGTAACCCGAGTAAGTTGCGTGAAGCACGCGAAATACATGCTTTACAGAACGTGAATTTTCGTAATAAAGTCTTTCCAGGATGAAATGGCAAACACGTGCAATCTAGTCACAAAAAAAGGCTATTGAAAAAAGTACCTCTACTTGGATCACCCGTAATAATGTCACGGATAATGTGTTCCTTGTAATATATGCGCAAGAAATAATTATATCTGTTATAGTCAGATTCACTCACAAATATTTAATAACGATTCGATTAGGATTTGGAAAGCTAAGTATTTTAATAAAGATCCTTATTGTACATTCTATTTCATTTAAAAATTGTATATGTAATAGAGTGCAAAGCTTTTAGTAGGAAAATCGGCCTATATTTCCAAGATTGTACAGATGAGCTTAATCATAAGCACAAGCTGGTTCAAAAGAAACACAAAGGTTTCCCAATGGGCCTAGAAGAGTCGTTAGACATACTCCTACAAGTGCGCAAATATGAATTTTGCTATATACTAATTATCCAAAAATGTATTAATTTTCCTCTTAATAATTAAATATATGCAATTATTTTCCTATTTTATTAACACAATAATATTTGCTCCACTTTGGTTTTACATTTAAATTACATTAGTTCACTGCAACAGACAGGAAGGAAATAGCAACCAAAATTGTTGCAAATTTTATGACCGAAATGTTAAAAGCATAGAGCGGAAGCAAACACATTTAATTAATGCTAAATGGTAGCGTTTAATTCGAGATAAAGACACACTATGTACACAGGTATAAGAACATCCACACATATAACCAAATACAGTAGAAGTTTACATAGTGAAATGCTAATTTGCGTAGCTTTGTGTGCGCTCAAATTCAGACCGCTACCGCTAATAGATACCACAAGCGAATGCGCTNTGTGCTAAGTTTAGTGCATAACTCACTCTCGCTATTGATTGTCGTTGTTCCTAGACTGAATGTTCTCTGCTCCGTTCTTCTTTTGATTTTCGGGCATCTTTAGCAGATAAGTGAACAACCCCAAACTCTGGCATCTCATTTTTATGTAGCAACTGTAGCAGAGAGTACACAGACCGTGGAAAGTCAATTCGGCGTCGTTCGCAGCTTCTCGCACTGACGTGTAAAACGACTTGGGGCATTATACGTCGAGATCTTAAATTGAAARGAACAAAATGCATCTTGTAAAAGAACTGAGCTGAAGAAGATTGAAGAACCGTCATTTCATCCAGAATAAATAATGGTTTGGTGTAGTTTGAGAGCTAGTGAAATCACCGGTCCACATTTTTTCAGAATTGAAGCCGATCAGAGCGTAACCGTCATTGGCGACCATTATTGCGCCATGGTAAAGGACTATTTGATGACTAAAATTGAAGCTCGTGATTTGGTTTCAACAGGACGGCGCCACTTCCCACACATCGCATCAATCAGTAGATTTATTGAGAGAAAACTTCGGTCTATTTGACACCAAGATCATGTGATATCACACCGTTAGACTTTTCCTGTGGGGATACGAGGTGTGTTCAAAAAATATTGCGAATTTTGTGTTTTTTTTATTACTAAAAAACAACGCATAAAGCGCCCACGACTACAACCATCACTTAGCAACAAAAATGTCAAACCAATAACTTCTCAGCACTAATGATTCTCGTCAGGCAACAAACTGCCTAGCCGATATGCTTTTATATGCGTTTCCAGTTTTCCCCAGTATTTGTGTAAACTGCCGACTAGCTTCAACACTTTAACTTTTGTCGATTACTGTGTAGGTCTTAAACACCGTTTAAGTCGAAAAGTGAAGGTGTGAAATGCCAACACGCTGTCGCACCCACCCATTGTTTTGTTTGAATGCGTCAATCGTCTTACCAAGGTGCGCCTAGGCATATGTATGCTTACTTAAGGTTTTGTAAATATATTTTATTCATTTTCTTTGATTTATATTTTTTTAATTTCTGCATCAGATTGCATGACATAGATTTGGTAACTAACAGTCATGTAAAATTAATGATATTTCGGATAGGACAGTAAAATCGCAAAGGAAATATAAAAGATATATTATATAAATTTTTTTTTAGGGTGGAATATTTTCAGTAAGCTTATGGCAATGCTTTCTGAGGACATTTACAAAATTTCAGATAAATAACTTAACAAATAAAAATATTGTCGATTACCTTAAACGTTGCTCAATTGTGAAATTTTTTCCAGTGTGTTCTGTGCATTCATTAACACATCACAACATCAGCGCATCAGTGAATTCGGTACGTTTTAATACTCACRTTAGTTCGAAACGTAGTTAGAAGTTATAAAAATATTAAATGTAAAGGAAGTAACTGGTTGAGCGTCGATTCCCTTTTACCGCCTCTACGCGAATGAGATGTGTATAAGAGACAGACTATGTACACAGGTATAAAAACACCCACAATGCTAATTTGCGTAGCTTTGTGTGCGCTCAAATTCAGACCGCTACCGCTAATAGATACCACAAGCGAATGCGCTTTGATAGCGCCAGATGCGTGAGCAGTTTTTTATTTATAAAAACACTCTAGCAACGGTGTGTGTGTTGTATGTACGTGCAGCAAATCTGGTTGGAAATTGTGAGCGTGTAGTCGATGATCACCGGTGCGTAGGAGTAACATTTTCGACGAAATTAGTTACACATTATAGTCTACATTCTAATTTGTCCCTAAATTACGCATTTTAAAAGCATATACTTACGATATAATTTGAAGATTGTATTAGATTGATTTCAGTGTTCTTATGTGAAGAAATATTATATACATATAAATAAAGATATAGAGTTTGTAGCATTCAATAATTAAATTTTCATACAGTAGGGTGTTCTAAGGTATGAAACAAAACATTTCTTTTTCAAAAATTGTATCGCTTACTCTTTTTGTGGAGACATCTTGAAACAAAGCATTATTTAGCCATAAATATCACGTTTAGACTGATTCTATTTGGTTAAATGTTCACCTATTTTTAGTTGAGCGCTAAGATGTGCTAAGTTTAGTGCATAACTCACTCTCGCTATTGATTGTCGTTGCTCCTAGACTGCCTGTTCTCTTCTCCNATTATTTATATTAACATATACGTTTCAAAAACAAAGTGTATTTAACAAATCTCGCTCCAAAAAATACTTAACAATATCTCTTTAATATAAACGTAGTGACTACAATCGTAGTTACGTATACGCCATGTATAACATAAAGGTGTAGATTTTTAATTAATAATTTGCCGTCGCTGTTCTGATTAGCCTGTTGCTACAGAGAATACTAGTTATGTTCACCGAACCGTTGTAGGAAACACCTAAAACTAATCGAGATATGTTGATATAGAGTTATAAATATTTAAATTAGCAGGATTAAGAAACGACTTGAAATAACAAATTACGCCAGAAATATTAACTTTTCCCTCCAAATTGGTAAGAGAGAGTTTTATTGGAGCCAATGAAAGAATGTAATTTATTGGGAAAATCCCATATCTCGGAACCCGGCTCAATAATTTCGACAAAATTTAGTACATGGCATTCTTTTACGATACGATATAATATGACAATGCTAAATTGAACTCAAGCTAAGTGTAGCAACAAGTGAGTAAACAAATATGCTCAGCACATTTTACCATAAAGAAAAAACTTATCAGCGATTTTATTATTGTTGTTTGTTATTAATACTTATGAGCATGAAAATAGAAAAAAAGTATTATTGAATCATTGCTGCTTCAAATAATAGATCGTGCTGATAATTTATATATTTATTTGTAACTAAATATAAGACATTCAGTGCATAATGTATTGTACGTTATACAAAATACGAGTATGTAGGCATACGTGTGTACGTGTCTGCAAATTTTAATTGCATGTAAATGACTGAACTTAATCATGCGAAAAGATATCTTTACGCTCTTGTAAATCGCTTTTCACTTTTGTGCTAAATTCTTCCACTTCCAGCATCGCTTTTACAGAATCTCGTTATACTGAGTACTCGACATTTCGTTTGCATGCTGTGTGCATATATTGTGTTCGTATGCGATTGCTTTACGTTCACACATTTTATCATTCACTTTTGTTGACAAATGCCTAGGAAAGTATTTTTTTTTAACTTTTCTCTAGTTTCAGATATTTCGATATTGTGCTAGACATTTCGTTTATTTTTTTGGTTTCAGATTGCTAGGAGATTTGAAATTGTGGGTATAGATAGATAATAATTAGGATTTCCACTGTGAACTAAGGTCTATTRARCCCTCTTCTATATCAAAAAATTTCAGTCGTCACTCAGATCATTTGTACATGGTTGCATACTGAGGGGCGGCTCAGCCTTCCTATATACTGCTCCCCTTATAGCACTTTGATTTCATAAGCCGAGATCGCCTTTAGTGCCGCTCGACTGTGGCTAAGTATAGCAATACCTTGGTTGCGACTGTTGCGTTGGAGATGGATTTCGCATACTGACTTATAGTAAATACTTCTGCTTGAAAGATGCTTGGAAAACACCCCATTGGTATGGATGGAGAGATTGGTATGCGGTTCTGTCTTTGTAGCGGCGTCTCTTGGAAGAAAAGACATTGGTGTGTTTTAACGAACGACTGTTATTTTTGAAGAGTTGGTCTTTAACCCTACCGTATTGCACCATTCATTTACTATACTTAAGCCCTTTTGAACTAGGTCGCAGAGATTATTCTCAAATTTACATCTTGCCATTACGAAAACATCATCGACGTACTCCTGGCATATAATCCAATTATTTAGAAGTCCCATAGTAGGGGGATATAACTCTACCCTGTGAGCAGCCTCTCGTAGTAACACAGCACTTTGGGGGAGGACACAGTGGTTTCAGATATTCTAGTACGCAGAACAGCATCTATTCACCTTTATACTGGAACCGGCACATTCTTTTTCTCCCGTGCCCTGATGACGCTTGCGTGGGTCGCATCATTGAAAGCACCTTCGCTGTCAAAAAAGGCGAATGTCACATTTGTATGGTAGCGTGCCAAGCTTTTGAGACCCTCTACTTTATCAGCTGCTAAATTTTGAATTTTTAACTTTTTATATTTTTAATTTTTCCCGTATTCTTATAAGATCAATAAATAACTAGTAAAAATATGGAAATAAAAATATTATTTGTCATCTTTTATGACACTTAAAGATCACCTTAAATTCATACCTCCCCCAAACTCTAAAAAAATTTTTTGATTTAACTAAGGTCCAGAAATATGCATTCATTTAAGTAAATATTTTATTTCCTCTTCCTTTTGCAGATTTACCAAAATTTGGTGAGCCATTACAAAATGTCACGGTACCAGTGGGGCGAGAAGCGGTACTGCAATGTGTTGTCGATAATCTGCAAACCTACAAGGTAAGTGGTCATAAAAAAAGTATTCATGTATACATACAAAGAGATGTGTGAATCAGTAGTCACGAAGTGGATAAAAAAATATGATAACAATTTTTCTACACAAAATAATGGTCAATTATTCAAACAACAAAGCAAAAACCAGTAATTTTTCATTAGCTAAGAATCAGATAACATATAAGAGAGACAATGTAAAGAGCAGTCGAGCCCAAAATGGCTGATGTTTTATAGTCACCGTAAAACTACATATTCCCCAGATTACACACTTAAATGCACAACGTTTACCACACACTTCAGAGTGGACACTCACGCACATTAAAAAAAAAACTATTTGCTGATTCTTGAGCGCACTCAACCATTTTACAAGTAAATTACTATGCGTCAATACCACCATATATGTACGTAATCGTGTGTGCACATTTTGTCGGCACCTGTCGGCACCTGATTTAACACATGCCCAAAGTAAGTATGTAGTGTTGATGTGATAACTTTTGACCGTTTACTTCTCAGAATGCGAACCATTCTCTCTCCCCCATATGAAGCGTATTACATCAACGAAAATTTTCAATGAAGTGATAATTAACTTTTAGGCGTTCTAAAATGTCATATTGATATACATATATATCTACGATTTATTGAGTCTCTTCCTACCTACCTTCTGTTTTGCATACATATTTTTAAAGATTAATAAAACATAGCTGCAACAGGACACATTCGTTTCTGAAAGTACATGTTTATGTATATATGTAAAACTTGTGATGATATTGTTGTTATCAACTTCCCAGTCTAATATATAGGCACAGTATTACAATGTTTTTCACATGGTCACTATTGCCAATCTTTACGCCTAAGTGTGTGCTACAAAGTTATCTCAACCTTATAATAATAACAAATCATAATCACTGTTATTCACAATTATTAGGAATATTTTCTTATGCAAATGGATCCTTTGGCTGCGCAAGTGTAGGTCACTATAATATTAGTTTGTCAAAAAAGTCTTGCGGTATTTTCGCTAGTTGGCGCTGAGAGCGCGTAGTTCCAGTTTTATTCGTCGCATCGGGTCATGCTATATCTTTTTGGAAAGCTCATTTCACGCGCTAACATGTGGTTGATTCATTGTCGTGAGTTATAGCGTCGCAAATATGGAGCAAAATAAAGCTAAAATACGGCATATTTTACAGTACTACTACGATAAAGGCAAAAATGCATCTCAAGCCGCCAATAAAATTTGTGCTATTTATGGACCCGGTACAGTTTACATTTCTACCGCACAAGGATAGTTTCAACGTTTTCGTTCTAGTGTAGAGGTGGTCGAAGATGCGCCACGCTCCGGAAGGCCTGTTGTCGAAAATTGCGATAAAATCGCTAAATTGGTCGAAAGAGACCGGCATAGTAGCAGCCGTAGCCTCGGTCAAGAGCTGGGCATGAGTTACCAAAAAAAATGTTATGAACAATTGAAAATTCAATAATAATACCGCAAGATTTTTTTGACAACCTATTAGATTTCCTCAACACAAAATGTAAGTTATTTTGTTCGTCTAGTTGCTGCACAAATGTATATGTAAAAGGCACATTCCTATTTTTTTGTTTTTTTTTTTTTATTTCTTTGTAGAAGTAGTGTGTGGAACCTCAATCCGCTAAATCTAACCACTTCCCATCTCGTTTATCCCCTTCGGAAGAGAGAGGAAAATGAGACATTCAAGTCTCCTCTATTGTACGAACTGACTGACGCCTAATCTGTTGTAAATATCTCAATCTTATCATTATTACAGCTGACGCCTCGTTGACAGCTTTCCAATCTATAGTGGACTTACAAAATTTCCAAAAATTGGTGTGTTCCGCTTTCTTCTTATATTTGAAAACCGACGGCAATGATAGAGTACATGCTTAAAGTCTTCTATACACTCTGTACAAGTGTGCCAATATGCACTAAAGTCAATACGACATTTGTATAGGTAACTTCGAACCCACCCATGGGCACTGAGTATTTTGGTCAACATGCAAAAAAAAAAAAACAAAAAAAAGCTTTACAAATGTGCTTTTGCTTCCATGTCATCTTCTGTTACGCTTATTATTCAACAAACTTGATCTAGTGTGGAATGTATAGATCTAAATCCAAATTTAATAGCTTTAAATAGCTTCAACAAAATTGGACGATAAGACAAGCCCTCAAGTGCGATTTACCCAGGTTTATGTACCATAACGGTTTCAAATATCAATACATAGGGACGTATCTGATTTTTAAACATACGTTTATTATCGATGTAAGCTTTGCTGATGCTGAATAGTGAATAATTTGAAATTTTTTGTATGTATTCATTAACCATGTAGAATTGGTTTTGTGGTTATAACATAAAAAATTTTTGCTGCCATTATTTTCTCTACAACGAATCTCAAACAACGTTCTTTTTTAGAAGGTCACACATTAAAACCAATTTCGCTCAATATGTCTACAAAACCTCACAAAACATCTTTTCTTTTCGACGGTCACATTACAAGTACCGCTTAAACAAACACTAAGCTTTTCCTGACCTATTAATAGAATACAAATAAATATACGTATGTAAATCGATAACAATATGCTTGGTGTATGTCTATGTTTAGATATGATTTCCAACGAATTTGACCGCTGAAAGTAAGCCATCCATCTTAATGAACTTACTTTACGCTTTTATTGCCTTTAACTGCAAAGACAGGCACACACACTCTACCTTAGCTGATTCATTGAGAGACTCAGAACGGGCACAAGCAATCAGGCATATATTAAGATTTATAAATACACTTATATTCATATCCATCAATATATGATAGGCACGAATGTAAGTACTTATGTATTTATATGCAAACACTACGGAGTACTGGCTAATAAAGTGTTCAACTATTAAAGTAAACAAAGAAATTTGACATGAATTTTCTTCTTTTTTTCCTTTTCTTTCCTTATTAACCTACGCACATGCTTTCACCCATTCACATGTGGCCAATGCCTCTGGCACACCATGGAAAATTCATCACTACTATCTACTCACTCATTCATCACTCACTCACTACTTCAATGGATAAATAAACCAACCGGCATACGCGGCCGACCTCACGCACCTATACGAATGAAAATACGCAAATACAAATAAACAAAAACAAACTAATAACCGAACGTGCATATGAATGCGTGCGTCTTGCGGTCTATGTACTATTTGCTAATATGAAAATGAATGGGTTGTGTCGAACGGGTTGACACGTCGCGAATTATGCTTTACCTATACGCAAACATGCACCTGACGATTCTGATAAATTTGGTCCATTGCCTAGATTGCGTGGCTACGCGTCGACACACAAACGATACTGACGATACAAAATCACGTTATAACGAAAAATAACCGAATGAGCATAACCCATGCTGAGAAACGTGCTTGGATATTGAGAATACGTGACGTCAAGGAAGCGGACAAAGGCTGGTATATGTGCCAGATCAATACGGATCCAATGAAAAGTCAAGTYGGTTACCTGGATGTTGTGGGTGAGCACAACAAATTTAATAGAGTCAAATTGGTTGTATATTATAATATGAGAAAAGCATATGCAGAATAGTCAAAAATACCTATAAGTAGAATTATCAATTCTAAGTTAAATTTAAGCGGAAGGGATATGTACATTAAAGTGTATCATTTAAAACTTTTATTTTTATTTCTTCCACTACACTTGAAACTTTTCTTTTCTATGTTGAACAAAAAAATCGCTGTAAACTCTTAGTTTGAACTTTAAGTACTTATATTTTGATTTTTCATGTTTTTCGCACATTTTGCAGGAATATCTGGTTTTATTGAAAATCTTGCAAATAAAAAATTATATGAAATTAAATTTTAAATTATTAATTTACCATCCTCACAAAATATTTAAATAAACTCCAATTTCATTATATGCACCCTTTATTGCATTAATTTCACATTAAATTAGTTGAGGTAATCAGGCTGATATTCGTCAAGCCACGAATGATCGCATTTGGATAGTTAGGAACGTCGAGCCGCTGTTATCCCTATAGCTTTATAAATCAAAAAGACCATCGCATATCGACAACTGCTTCTCATACCCTTATGTAGCTTTGAAAATTTGCGATTACAAAATTTTAATCTTCACGACATTGATTTAGTTAAGTTAGATTTAGTCGTAGAGTGATCTTTCTGGAAAACATAGCGCTAGATCTCACTTATGCTGCGGTAAACTTCAGTTTTTTCGGTAGATACTCTTAGTTTGGATCCCAGTTAAGGTAAAACTTTTAACTAACTATTAGTTTACGGAACAGTTATCTCTTTTTATGCGGATTGTTAAGAGATTTTTTATGACATTTAGATAGACGTTAGCATCAAAATAGTTTAAATGATAGCCTCAAAGAACTCTTTGAGCGCCAACATTTTTTTTTTTTTTGTTTGATGTTTCAGTAATTAATTTTATAGTGTCGTCGTACAGGAAAAGAAGAGCTAAGTTTCGAGTTATTTTTCGTTAATTTTTTCGATTTTTTTTTGCCCTGTATCAACTGTCAATTAGCGTTTATTATTTTTAGTAGTTTTCTTGCTGGCGATTCTCTCAAAAACGCACGTGATATTTTGTATATTTAAAAGTTACGTATACGACACGTATGTCACGTTCAAGTCTTTTAATCTACCGCCATGTTTTTCACATGTTCTACGTATCGCGAGGTTGCACATGAATACACGCTTGCTCAACCAATTTACGTCTTACCTCCTATCGAGCAAAGTTTCTTTACGAAACAAGTATACTGTGTCATTGCTCACCGTTTGGGGTTTGCTGTATTATGATTGTTGCTTTGCATTCGTTGGAATAATAATTAAAACAGAAACTTACTTGTCGTAGTTTTTAGCCGAGAAATTAGAAAAGTTTTACACGGATATAATACTTCCTCTAGCGGAGAGATGGCAAAAGGTGGTCGACTAAAATGGTACATGGAAATTTGCATGCATGCTTCTCATAGAGTCCGAAACGAATGGACCGATTTCACAGAAATTCTAGGGTGACCTTCAGAATGGCCCCGAGAATATTTCTGTAAAGTTTTTCGGATATCGAATATTTTTCTAATGTTCTTTAGTAATTTAATGTTGCTCATACCCATTTAGATTTCTAAACAACAAAATTTCAACGATTAGAACGGAGCAGTTAAACAATCGTAGGTATGCAGGTGTCAGGGGATGAAGTATCATAAAGTTATGTTAGCTGTTTTTTATTACACGATTTTATTTTAAAACATTTAAAATTAGCATAAATTTATGTATATTTTTATTCATGTGTAAATTTTATTATATAACGTAAATAAAATCTAACGTGTCAGTATATCTCAAAAGAAATTAAAAATTCTGTTGAAACTCCTCTGCTCATGGAAATAACTGAGTGTTCGCTTTTTTGTAGTTTTTTCATATTCGGTTCACATTGTCACGATATGTGACCGATTGATAATCTGTTCCCGGATCGAAGGCATAGAGCCAAGACTCATCGCCAGGAACAATACGTTCCTTGACATCGTGGTAGGCGGAAAGCATTGTCTCGTAGACGTTCACGCCACGTAGTTTTTCGAAAAAAATTAGTGATTTCGCGACTAGTCGTGCTTTCACTTTTCTTAAGCTCAAATGATATTTCACTGATCTTTCCCATATTCAAACGACGGCAGTAAGATCTCTGACTATTAATCGTCGATTTTCAAGCACCAATTCTTTTATTTTATAGACTATTTTATAGACGTGTTGATCATCACTTTATGTTGATGGCTATCCTGGATGTAGTTCCTCTCCAACCCGTTYTCAAACCCCTTYGAATAATTTGTGCCAATCAAAAACACTTGCTCGCGACAAACAATTATCACCAACTTTTTCCAACATTCTGAACGTTTTGGCACCAGACATTTGATTCCGCATACAGAATTTAATGGAACATCTTTGTTGAATAATTTCCTTCATCGCAAAATCGCCGAAAGCACTTTATGTACTAGAGAAAGCCTGGCGTATACTAAATACTAATAATTATTTTGACATGACATATGAAAAGATGTCACATAGACCTAGATAAAACTTTAACGATTGGATTTTCTTTGAAGTTCTTTGAAGAAAAAAATTTTATTTTTCGGAAACAAATGTTGTTTTTAATTTCGCTGGTTTATGCTATAATGGCATTTTTATTAAAATTTAAGGCCTTTTTTGTGTATTTAAACCTTTAAAATTTCAATAATTATTTAACTTTCTCGAATTTCTTTTTTAATTATTG